AATCTACTGGAGTTTTTTGAGAGTGTAACTCCGTGAATTGATTGGGGAGGTCCAGTGGATGTGGTATATTTGGATTTTTAGAAGGCTTTTGATAAGGTCCTTCATAAGTGCTTAGAGGACACAGTTGAAACCCATAGGTTAGGGGGTGATGTATATTGACATAGAGTGATAATTGGTTAACAGATAAACAGTAACTAGGAATAACGGGTCTTTTTCTGAGTGGTAGGCATTCAGTGACTAGTGGAGTACCGCAAAAATGCTTGGGCCACGGCAGTGCACTATATATATAAATGACTTGGATGAAGGAACCAATGCAACATTCCCAATGATGGCACAAAACTTGGTGAGGGTGTGAGTTGTGTGGAGAATATAAGGAAGCTTCAGGATGGTTTAGACAAGTTGAATGTGTGGGTAAACATGGGGCTGGACAGTCTAAATGTAGGGAAGATGTTTTCCCTGGCTGGTGGGTCTAGAACCAGGGGACACAGAACCAGGATAAGGGGTATACCATTTCAGACTGAGATGAGGAAAACTTTCCTGTGGAATTCTGTACCACAGAAGACTGTAGAGGCCAGGTCACTGAATGAATATGTTCAAGAAAGAGATCAGTTTTTAGATTTTAAAAACATCACAGGTTATGGGGAGAAAGTGGGAACAGGGTGCTGAGTTGGATGATCAGCCATGATCATATTGAAAGGTGGAGCAGGCTCAAATGACCTTACTTTAGTTTCTGTGTCTCTATGTAAAATAAATTGGAGCAGGATTAGGTCATTTGGCTCATCAATCCTGCTCCAATGTTCAACGTGATCATAGCTAATCTGGTTATGGTCTCAGCTCCACTTTCCTGTTGACTCCTTTGTTGCTCAAAAAACTATCCTACTCAGTCTTGAATGTACTTAGTGACCCGTTCTTCACTACTCCCCATGGAAGTGTTTTCCACACAACCCCCTCAGAGAGAGAGAGAGAGAGAGAGAGAGAAAACAAATTCTACATTTTTGAACTGTGACGCTAGTTCTGGACTCCTTCCATAAGGGGAAACATTCTCAGCTTTCACTCTCTCAAGCCCCCTCAGAATCTTATATATTACAATAAGATCATCTCTCATTCTTCTAAACTCCATGGAGTATAGGCCAGATCTGTTTAATCGTTCTTCATAAGACAACCCTTTTCATCCCAGGAATGAACCCAGTGAACCTTCTCTGTGCTGCCTCTATTGGAGGTATATCCCTCCTTAAATATGGAGATTACAAGTGTATACAGTATTCTAGGTGTGGTCACGTTGATATCCTGTACAATTGTAGCAAGACTTCTGTGCTTCTGTACTCCATCCCTTGCATTAAATTCCAGCAGAACTGCGCTGCACTCCTTTCAAGGCAGTGCCTCCTTGAGAGGAGGTGCCCAGAATGGAATGCAACCACTCTAGAGGCACAGGCAGAATGTGGTGCAAATACAGCAGCATTGGTGGACAGAGAAAATTAAGTGTTAACATTTCAGTTGAGTGAGCTTTAGTCAGAATGAGAAGAAATCGGAGACGAGCATCAGCATTTACAGAGCCAGAGGAAAGTGGGGCAGTTCCACTAGAGGTGATTTGACGAGGGCTACATATGACTCCAGTGTAACTTTCAACTAAACATGAGATGGCTTAAATGGAATGTTTCAATTTTGTTTCACTGTGTTCTGCTTATCTTTTCATGACATTCCCTAGTATGAGAACATGACCACGGCATCTGTGGAACTTGTCGGAGCTGCCTGCAAGCATCTCTCATGGTCACCATATATTTATTACCTTAAATGGTATATTCACGTTCTGCAGACGGGACAGATCAACCTGAAACTTGCAGTCAGGTGTGTATGTGGAATAGAGTCCTGAGTGATGATTGTGCCAGCAAGCTAATGAACGGTTCATCTATTCTGTTTTTTCACAACACGCCAGCTCTCGTTCAATCTGAGGCTCATTCTTTTTAAATATAGTGATCAAGATGCACAACCCTGTCCAGAATAAGGCAGCCCATTGATAGTCCACCACTTTGTGTGTTCACACCCTCCATACCGGCGCACAGTGGCAGTGGTGTGTATTGTCTATGTGATGTACTGCAGAAATGCTACAGCTTTCTCAACTGCACCTTCCAAACCCACAACCTCTCCCATCTAGAATGATAAGGGTAGCAGTACATGGGAACACCATCACCTGCACGTTCCCCTCCAAGCCATTCATCCTCCTGACTTGGAAATGTAACATGTTTCCTTCATTATCACTGGGTCAGAATTCTGGAACTCCTTCACAACAGCACGGAATGTCCTTACACCACAAGGACTGCAGCAGTTCAGCAGGATGGCTCACCATCGCTTCAGAATGCTCTCAGTGCAGAAAGAGACCATTCGGCCCATCGAGTCTGCACCGTCCCTCTGAACAGCATCCCACCCAGACAAAGCTGCTCTTTGGAGCCCACTCTAACCCTGAATGTTAGTATATTTCACTATTTTGTCAATGACATGTGACACTCTAAACTGAAAATTCTATTAGTGCTGTGCATTATCTAGCACTGCCCTTAACTAAGGATGTTAAATCTTGTTCATTTTCAGTCTTAACTTTTGTATTTTTCGAATACTGCTTCTGTGTACTTATTCCAGTTTATTTTCTCTCCTACAGTTTGCTGCTTTCTGTGTTGCAAGCCTTTCACTTTGACCCAGAGAGCCTGCAGAAGGAGTTTGGAGCAGTTCAGATGAGTGAAAATGAAAGTACGAGCCTAAACTGTGACTTTTAGGGTGGGGTTTCTGCAAAGAGTACACAGGGTGGGACACATGGGCTGCATGTTGTACTGTTTGACGAGAACATCCTTTTCTGCTCTCGCTATTCTGTCTCATTCTTAGCGGATTCCAGTTTCCCCATGCATATTTGTATAACCCTCAGGGGAAATCTCCCATGGGCAAATGTAATCAATCAATGTAATCGATCAATGCGATTGATTGGCAGATGGAACAGGGTAGCCACCTAATTCACATCAAGGAACGGAATTGCCAAGCAATGAGCCATTCTTCAGCTAATTGGTTGTTAGCAGAGCAGGGCAGATCAGTTGATAATTAAAGTACTTGTAGTGCTAGCAGGAACAATAGACCTGGGCCAGACTTCACTTGGCTGCCCTGTGAATGTAAGTTGTCATTACTAACTGGTTATGATGATTCTGGGTGAAACATGATAAACTCCTCCAAACTGGAACGACTGGCAGAATCTGATCATTTCAACCCAAAGGTGTGGCTGGGCAGTGCCTTACCCACAGCTAGTGTTCAAAATTGATGCAAACTCCAGTGAAAGTTGTAACTGTAGTTCATGAGCTTAAAATTGTAAGCACGGTTTCATTCAATTCTGCCTGGACTGCAATAGTATTTCAGTGGAAATTGGGTGTTGAAACTCCAAGCCATGCATAAAGAAGTTAATCTCAGTAATACTGACCATGAAACTACTAGACTTCTCTAAAAGCCTACCTAATGTCTTAGTGGTAAACAAACCTGCTGTCCTTACCTGGTCTGACCTATATGGGACTGCTTTCTGATATGGGGATGAGCAAGCCACTTAGGCACATTCAAGAATGTTTCAGAGATAGTAGGAACTGCAGATGCTGGAGAATGTGCTCATCTCTAATTGATCTCAAGAATGTATTCTTGAGATCAATTAGAGATGAGCAAATCCACAAAGAGTTTTCCTAATGGAGATCAATGGCGCAGAGTCCATGACAAGACTTTGGAGGATATAGATATGGCAATGAAATGGGCAGATAAGTGGCAGATGAAATTCAAAGCAGAGAAGTGTGGAGTGATTCGTGGGTTGCTAGGAAGAACATGGAGAGAGAATATAAAATAACAGTTATAACTCCATAGTGAACGCAAGAGCAGAGGAACCCTGGGTGTATATGTGCAGAAGTCATTAAGAACAGCAGGACGGAAAGAGTGAAAGAGTAATTGAAAGAGTGGTTAATGATGCAGACTACATCCTAGGTTTATTAATAGAATCCCGACATTGCCTCCTGGGGATCTCCACCACAAAACTTGGGCCAGCTTGACTTGTTTCCTGTCACTCAACCAATTACCTCATCAAAACTCTTCAGCAGATTGGTTAAACACTTTCTTCTTAACTTTGCATTTGTCCATGTGGCTAAACTGTATTCCCAAATTATTGCTTCTAGATGCTTCCCCACCACAGAACTTAGACTAGTTTTCTCTCACTGTTGCTACGACTGTGTGGAGTTGAGTGGATAGCAGAGATAGATTGAAAGTGAAAAAGATGAAGGAGGAAAATGTTTAGAAGGATACATGGATTGAATGAATCTGTGTGGGAGAAGGTTCACATGGAGATAAACAACAACACAGTCGAGATGGACAGAATGGCTGATCTCTCTGATTTCGACTTACTGTGTTGTCCTGCAGTCCAGATGATGCTGTCATAGTTTTGTAGCCTGGTTGTTAAGTTGACCTGGCATCCACGTAGGTAGTTTTTTTGTTGACTGCACCCTTCACCCTGTGCTGACCATGATCGTCTCACTGTGCCCTGTAGATACAGAGAAAGAAGATGAGGAAAATGTGGCTGAAGCCATGGAATTGGAAGATGATGCTGATGAAGTGAAGGAAGAATCTGCAGAAACGTTAAATGAAGATAGCACAGTGTGTGAGGAAGGGACAGCGGGAGAACAGCTCCCAGTGAAGCAGATGAAGAAGCCCATAGCCCCTCAACCCAAAAATAAACAGGAGCTGGAAAGTCTGATTGACCACATCCAAGTGACTGTCACCCACAACATCCTGCCTAAGCTGCAGAAATGCTTAATTGCAAAGGTCTGTAGGTAAAACCCTCCAATAAACTTGCAAACTCTCACCTCTTTACCTATGTCTACATGTCACTGTCTAATTTCTCCCCTTTCTCACACTCTCTCTCCCCTTCCCCTCTCACTCCTCCTCCTCCTTTCCAAACCCCCTTTCCGCCCCCTCTCTGTTCCCACCACCACCCCCCGCAAGCTTGCTGTCCCTCTCTCTTTCCAATTGTCATAAATCTCTCTTGTTCCCTGCTTTTTGTCTCTCTTTTACCTTCCATTTATCTCACGCCTACACACTCTTGCCCCTGTCCCTCCAGCCCCCTCCACCTAACTCCACCATCACTTGAGTTTATTTCATTGTTAACAGGTTCAAAGAGATGAGCAGCACAAGTTGGTGAAATCAAAAATAGTCAATGATGAGGAGTTGGTGCGAATTCCACTGGCTTATACAATGGTTAAACTGATGCAGACTCTTCCCAAGGAAACCATGGACTCCAATTTACCAAGGTATTGCTACACAGCACTGACTAAGAATAGTTGTATTCACAGTGGCGTTGGGGGATTAGGAGGGGCCTTGTCTATTCAGTGAATAGGGTTTATTTTTCCTCTTTATCTGAGTCAGCCACGTCTCTGATTCACAACATTCCAGGTTCAAGTCCATTTCTGGGATTTGGGTGTAATACTCATCGTTGACACTCCATGGCAGTAGGTGCTGCATTGTCAGAGGTGCATCCTCAGGATGAGATGTTAAATTAAAACCCAGTCTTCCCCCACTCAGGCAGATGTGAAGATCCTGTGGTACTATTTTGAATAAAAGCCCAAAAGTTATTCTCAGTGTCCTGGCAATATTTACCCATGATCTGTTCACAACAAAAAAGCAAACGATTTTCATATTTTTGTTTGTTGGAGCTTACTGTGTATAAATTAGCAGCCACTTTTGCCTATGTAACAGCAGTGGCTAAGCCTCATTGACTGTAAAAGATATTGAGACATCAGGTGGTCATGAAAGGAGCTACATTAACAAAAATCTTGCTGGTCTCCTGTTCACAGCATCCTCATCAAAGTCTGTATGCTGCTGAGAAACCGGGCGCAGGAGATCCGAGAGGTTGCTCGCAACACCCTGACTAAAATCATTGAGACTTTGGGCCCAGGATACTTTCTGTATCTTCTCAAAGAGATGCAGTCAGCTTTAACCAAGGGCTATCAGGTAACGTGTTGCAGTTGAATGCCATTGAATGTCAAGGGGCAATGGCTATGTTTTCTCTTGTTGGAGATGGTCATTGCCTGGCACTAGTGTGGTGGGCATGTTACTTGCCACTAATATGCCCAAACCCGTGAATTGCCCAAGTATATAGTATTTGCAGCCCAAGTATAAGCCATTCAGCGCAACAACTCTGCACTGCTGATTGTGCAACACATGAGCCTCCTCCAGCCCTATTCATCTCACCCCACTTCCATATTATTATATTCCTTATGTAGCAGCCTGCGACTACTCAAGTGAAATAAAAATCACTAAGAAGGGAGGCCAGAAATACAGGCACAGCAACTGAAATAAACGGGGCATCAAAATTGGCCAAATTGCAAAGTATGATGGGATTGCCTGAGCCAAGACAGACACAAGAAACAATTTGGCCTAGGGACAAGTCTGGCAAGATCCAATCCGAGACAATTGAAACCCGAGAGGCACCGGAACACATCCGGAAGTGTGAAAGGGTAACTCAGCCCGTCCTGACAAATAACACTACATGCATGGGGCAGACAGGCCTGAGTAAGACAAAAGGCCAGGTGTATGTTCTGGGATAAAACTAGACTTCCAGGCCTAAGAACATACACATCAAAGGGGTCACTGTTAAGTAAGCCGTTGAGAGCCATTAGCAGCATTTCAAGATGATAAAGCCAATTAATTTGATATCCCTGATTGGTCAAGTCCTTGGAAAGTTATGGAAGGTAATCAGGAGAGTATAGGAAACCAGCTCAGCCGGACTCGGGGACCCCACTCTCCAGGCTACCCAGAGGCATGTCGGGATACAGCAGTAACCAGAGCAGGCTGCAGTCCAACCAGACAGAGAATCAACCTGTGAAGGGAGGAACAGACTGAACAATTTGACAGACCAGCAAAGTTTTGAGTATCTGGGAAGTATTTTAAGTTTCTAAAGAATCAGATAGTTAGCAATGGAGTTGTTAAAAGTGTAAAATATACCTCTTAACCTTTGTTATCTTCAAATAACGTTGTGACCTGGTTCACTGACTGCAGACCCATGCTGTGTAGTCCTTTGCTAAGGTGCCTGGGTAAATTAATATTGTGTACACTGGTTGAAGAGTCTGCGGGATCTTAGGGACATCCTGTTCCAGACAGCACTTTCTCCTTCATTTTTCTCTAGCTTTCCCTTAAATGTATCTGTCACCCACCTCAACCACTCACTGGTCAACGTGCAAGAATCGATTGCCCAGATAATGTGACAAACCCAGTTTGAGGTCTTCCAAATATTGACAGCAAAGTTTCCTTTTAATTGGGATATACTTGTCACTGGCAAGGCCAGCGATTAATACCCATCCCCAGTTGCTGTGGGGCACTTGCTGTTGAGTTGCTATCTGAACCACTGCGATCCTTGGAGTGTAGGGACACCCACAGTGCTGTTAGGGAAGGGATTCCAGGATTCTGACCCAGAAACGACAATATAATTCCAAGTCAGGATGGTGTGTGGTTTGAAGGGGAACTTGCAGACAGTGTTCCCTTGTTCCCTCTGTCCTTGTCCTTCTACGTGCAAAAGGTTGCTGGTTTGGAAGGTGATGTAAATGAAAAGAATTGGAATGAGAAAAGAGTAAGTTTTGGTTCGTATTATCGATATTCTCTCATTGAATTACTGAAGTTGTATTACGTTAATGATTGAGATATAATGCACTCCCAGTTCCAGAACACTCCTGGTAGTTTCAGTTCACTGAGCCTCCTCTTTTTTACCTTGCCAGGTTCATGTTTTGACCTACACAGTCCACATGCTGTTAAAGGGTCTCATACCCAGACTTAACAGTGGCGATTTGGACCCTTGCATGGACGTTCTCATTGGGGTAAGGATTTACTCTCAGAAATGATTAATGCTTTACAGATCATTGTGTACTAAAGAAGGAAACAAAACCCACCTTTTTCACCCTCTGAATATCAGAAAGTGCTTTAGAAGCAGTGAAGTAATTTTTTTTGTTGTAATGTAGACAATAACAGTTGCCACTTTATGCCCAATGAGCTGCTGCACCAATAGCAATGTAATAAATTACTAGATCATCTCTTTTAGATGTTGGTTGAGGAATAGATATTTCATGAGGATTTAGGGAGGAGGAATTACCCTAGTGCTTATTGCAATAGATCAGTCTGCATTCGTTTGAGAGCACAGAACGAGCCTTGATTTAACTCCCTATCTGAAAATCAGTGACAACATAGCCCTCCTTCAGTACTGAAGTCTCAGCTTGGATATTTTCTAAGCAACCGACTCGGATGTTATGATGCAATGCTGGAGCACGTGGAACTTGAACCCAGGCCTCCTGGCTGAGAGGTAGGAACACTACCAATGTGCCACAAGAGCCGTCTAAGTCTCAGCATTGATCGTGGGCTCAATTATCTGGTTTGGGACTTGTACACACTTTCTAACTGGCCTGAAATGCTACCAACTGTACCATAGCTGACACCACCTCAAGTATCAGTCTTAACTGTAACAAATTTATTTTTTTTAGAAGATGATTGTTCAGTTTATTATTCTGGTGTTAATCCTAAATTCCATTACCCTTTTCCACCCATGTTCTTTGAATCTCTTCAAATATTTATCTATTTCTTGGTGATGTAATTAATTAAAAAATACTATGCTGAATTCTAACGATCTTATTATCAGTGCAAAATAATTCTCTCTCTCTCTGTCTAGATTTTTAATCACGAACTATTTGGTGAAATTGCAGAGGAGAAAGAAGTGAAGGGAATTATAAGCAAAGTGATGGAAGCGAGGAGAAGCAAAAGCTACGACTCCTATGAGATTCTGGCTCAGTTTGTGGGAAAGGCACAAGTTACTAAGCTGATCCTTCCACTCAAAGAGGTGAAGTCAATGTTCCGTTTAGCAATACGCACCACTAACTTTGAAGAAATCTGGCCACAAAGATCTAGCAATCTCTAAAACATTTATGCTCCCTTTCTCCCAGCACCATTTTGAATCTGCTGCCAAGTGAAGCAGATCTCCAGGTGTCCAACAGCACTGAGGTCATCAAGCAGGTTAAGCAGCCAATTATATTGAAGTATTTTCAGACAGCAAACCAGAGAGTCAAAACCACCAAATCACTTTTTATTTTTAAGAAATTTGCAGATGGTGAAATAAATGATAGTGACACCAATGTGGGATTAGAATCACTAAAACATTGTCAGTAAACTTGTTAAAGAGTTTTAATACTTTAAGAATATATAGATTTTCTTTGTCATAATGGAAGAATCTGACACCCAACAAATTTAAAATGACATTACAGAACCAGTAAAGATGGTTTAAGTAATTATGAACTTAGTACGTGGTTTATGAAAACAAGAGTTAAAACTGATACAACAAGATGCAACTTTGCTAGGTTTTTTAAAAGTGAGACAAATAGCTTCGCAGTAGAGGCTTTTGTTAGTTTAAAGATGTTTGAGTGATTGCAGACTGTGGGGTCTTCAACAACAATACCCTGTGGTAAAGTGTGGAATCACTGCTGGCAGATTTTGAATTTCCACATTGAAAGCTGCAGGAACAAAAGAATAACAAAGGCGAACACTGATGGCTTTGCCTTCATTGCTACCATAAAACCCAGACCAGTATCTCTCTGCTGCGTTTGCTGTATCATTCACTGGTGCATTTCCCTCGGTTGGTCAACGTTTATTGTGATTTCTCATTTGACCATTCCGCTTGGTCTCTGGTTGTGTCCCAGGCGTAATGAGACTTGAGGAAGACAAAGCATGTACTTCTGTCTGTTTCCAGAGCTAGTTTTTTTTTTCAAGAAACGGGCCAGCACAGGCTTTACCTTGAAGGGGACACTACTCCATATTGGGAATGACTGTTCAGGGACCCTCGCCCACTATTGCCGCCTGCCTTGACTTATTGGAAAGGATTTGCAGCATCATAATCAACCTGTTTGGCTTTGTTATAAATGGACCTCTGTATTTGGATAATTCATGTTTCTTAATGAACAGAAATTCAGTCATAGGAAGCAGATTGGTTCATCTTTCTGTTACGTTGCACTCTGATGGTCAATTCTAAGTTTCCTCACACTGTGGAAGTACCTCATTGGCTGCAAACTGCTTTGGAATGTCTTGAGGGCATGAAAAGATCTGTACTCATGCAGCTTCTGACTTTCTATTCAATCTCTGCTGTGGCCTCAACCCTTTCCTATGTCTGTAACCTCCCACAACCTTCTGAGATCCGGGATTTCTTTCAATTCCAGCCTCTTGTCTAACTTCCCCATCTTTACTTCTTTCACATCATTGGTGGCCTGAGGCCTAAGTTCTGGAATTCCAACCTGAAGTGCCTCTACTTCTCTCTGCTTTGTCAAAATTCTGCATAAAAACTACCGCCTTGACAATTAGCCACCCCTGCTGATGTCTCCTAAGATATGCTGTGGTAATGCAGGGTTAGATCCCACTATGGCTGCTGGTGGAATTTAAAATTAGTTGATTAACTTTCAATTATAAATTTATTGTTTTCACAAACAGTAACCATGAAACTGTAAATGATTGTCATGTAAACCAAACTATTTCACTAATGTTCTGTAGGAACAAAAATCTACCATCCTTACCCAATCTGGCTGACATGTGACTCCAGACCCACGGGAATGTGGTTGTCTCTTAACAGCCCTCTGAAATAACCGAGGAAGACACTCATTTTCAAGGCACTTAGGATTGGGTAACAGATACTGGCAGTTGGTTTGCCAGTAGATCAAGAAGATTGGTTTAATAGATTCATAAACGTCAACTGCACAGGAGAAGGCCATTTGACCCATCTTGTCCATGCCAGTCAACAAAGATCTGACTATTAATCCCATTTTTGAATTCTTGCCCCACACCCCTGACAATGCAAATGAATATCTAAAAGGTAAAGTCGTCATCGTCCTACCAAACCATAGGGTTGCTCTCTCATAAGAGAAAGAGACAGACAACTGGTGGTGGTTTAACCCAAGGACCACCAGAACCCAGGCCAAGGGAGAGGCTGAGAAAGAGAGTCCTTTATGGTAACCTCAGCCAGAGTGGGAATTGAATCCACGCCATTGGCATCACTTTGCATCACAAACTAGCTGTCTAGCCAACTGAGCTAACTAACCCTTTGTAAACATCAAGATACGGCTTAAATGTTTCAAGAGTTTCCGACTCAACCACTTTTTTAAGCAGTGATTTCCAAACTCCCACCACCAACGGGGTGAAAACATGTCTCCTCCGCTCTCCTCTTCACCTCTACCTCTTAGTGTAGATCTATGCCCCAATAACCTTGATCCCTCTATAGATACAAAACGTTCTTTCCTCTCCACCCTCGTAATCTCATTCTCCTCCATCAGGTACCGTCTCAACTTTTGCTGCTCCAAGGGAAAAAAACACAGCCTATCCAGTCTTTCCTCATAAATCCGAACCTCCAGCCTAGGCAGCATCCCGATAAATCTCCTCTGCAATGTCTGGTGCAATTACATCCTCCCTATAACGTGGTGACCAGAACTGCATGCAGTCCTCCTACTGTGACCTAACTAGCATACCATGCTCTGATATTCTGTGCCTCAGCTAATGAAGGCAAGTGTTCCAATTGTCCTCCATTGTTTTCTGACTGTGTTCCTATGAAGCACCTTAGGGCATTTTATGACAGTGTAGGCACACTATAAATGGAAGCTGATATTGGTGCAGTACGGTTAAGTGATATTTTACATTTTCAGATCTTAGAGAATACAACCATCCTTAAGCAAGCTCGCAAGGTTCAAGAAACGTTTCGTCGCATTGTGTCTGGTCTGTTACTGAATAAGGAAATGACAGCCGACTCCATTCTCTTATTAAGCCATGGTCTGGTGACAGAGAGCTTACCGTTGATGGCACAGAGAACCAAGTGAGTAATCATTCATTTGAATGACTATTTGAGTGAATATGGCAGATTAAAGTGTATATTGAGACAGTATGTTACGCTGATCGAGGCTGGTGTTAGTTGTGAGCGATCAAAGACTTACCCCTCTGCTTCTGTACCTTCCCCTGTTTCAGTTGTTAATCCAGGTCACTTTAAAAGACATAATGGTCTCTGCCCCTTGGCCAATCCCTGAGGCAAAGATTTCCACGCTCCAACTGGCCTCTCTGCCAAGGCGTTCCTTTTAGTCCTTCTTCCTGTAGCCCTGTACCTTGAAGAAACATTGACTCAAATCTCGATGTTCAGAAATAAATGATTGTTTTTGCTCCTGAACATTTGATTAGCTTTTCAGTATCACTGCGTAAAACTACCCGCTTTGGAGTCAAAGGGGTCCTGGGTTTCCCAGCCTTCAGCTAGCACCCACGGAGCGAGGTTTAGTCTGTGCAGCAGCTGGGTGAGCTGCATTTGTGCAGTATCCAACTATGTTAAAATATAACCGCTAACAAGAGTTAACCAGAATGTGACGAGTCAGCTCAAACTCACTAGTTAAACCCATCCCTGCATTTGTGCATATTTTATGAGTTGATGTTTTGTCCAGATGGTTTTGGTAAATGTTGGTTGACGGTAAGTGGTGAGAATGTGGAATGCAGTACCGTGTGGACTGTTTTAGGTAAATAGCACAGATGTCCTTAAAGAGAAATTAGATAACTGCTCAAGGGCGAAAGAAAGGTGCCTGATGGGCTGAGATGAGGAAGAGTTGGGAGGACGCTTGTCTGGAGCACAGACCTGATGGGGCTACATTCTCTATGTTTCTTTATAACGCTGCTACATGTCACTTTAAAGAGGTAAACACAAGAAACCTGAAGCCTCCCGCATTGAACTGAAGCCCCAGAGTTGCCTTTTGCTGCCCCCCACCCCAAGCCGTCAGGGTGAGAAAGTGGCCACCAGCGCCAAGACCAACATGCACATTCTGGTCGATACAGGGTTGAGGGTAAGTAATCAGAGTTTCTGCTCATTCATTGGTTTCTGAAATGCATTATCTTCCTATTTGGACACAGGATGCAGGCATTGCCGCCTGGGCTATTTATTGCCTGCCCCTAGTTGCTTGTGAGTAGGTGGTGGTGAGCGGCTTTCTTGAACAGTTGGAGCCCGTTTGATGTGGGTTCACCCACAATGCTGTTCCAGGATTTGACCCAAGGACACTGATGGACCAATGATTTATTTCAAAGTCAGGATGGAGTGTGGGGTTGGGTGTGCATGTGTTTAGGGATGTGTTCATTCAGAATGGCTGTTGAAAAACCCACAATTCCTCTTTGGTTATTAATTTGCCAACAATTGCAAGACCATACATTTTACCTAATCCGATTTACTCTGAGGATGTGGCATAGACTTCTCAACCTATTGTAATCCCTCCAATATTGTTCACATTGTGAGGTTATGCAGGGCATTTCCAAAATTTTGACTCAACAGGGACCAAGGAACAAGAGGATATGTTCAAGTCAGACTTGGTGGTGATGAGACTTCCAATAGCTTATGGATAATGTCCTTCATGTTGTATAGGTCATGGAGCTCGGAGCTGAGCACTTGAAGAGGAACAGGAAAATGTTTGGAATTATACTGCGGCCATAAGGGTTAACATATGAGCAGTGGTTACGAAGACTAGACTTGTTTAATTTAAATAAATGTGAAATGCTGCATTTTGGACAGGCAAATCAGGGTAGAACTTATACACTTAATGGTAAGGTCGTGGGACGTGTTGCCAAACAAAGAGACCTTGGGGTGCAGGTTCATAGTTCCTTGAAAGTGGAGTTACAGGTGGACAAGATAGTACACTTGCCTTTATTGGTCAGTGCATTGAGAATTGGAGTTGGGAGGTCACGTTGCTGCTGTACAGGACATTGGTTAGGCCACTTTTGTAATACTGCATTCAATTCTGGCCTCTCTGCTCAAGGTAAAATGGTGTGAAACTTGAAAGGGTTCAGAAGAGATTCACAAGGATGTTGCCAGAGTTTAAGGGTTTGAGCTTTAGGGAGAGGCTGAATAGGCTGGGGCTATTTTCCCTGGGGCATCAGAGACTGAGGGGTGATCTTATAGAAGTTTATAAAATCATGAGGGGCACAGATAGGAGGAATAGCCAAGGCCTTCTCCCCAGAGTAGGGGAAGCCAAAACTAGAAGACATTGTTTAAGATAAGAGGGGAAAGATTTAATAGGGGCAACTTTTTCACAGAGGATAGTGTGTACATGGTATGAGCTGCCAGAGGAGGTGGTGGAGGAAGTTACAATTATAACATTTAAAAGGTGTCTGGATGTGTATATGAATAGGAAGGGTTTAGTGTGATTTGGGCCAAATGGTGGCAAATGGGACAAGATTTATTTCGGATATCTGGTTGGCATGGATGAGTTGTGTTGAGTTGTCTGTTTCTGTGCTGTACCTCTCTCTGACTGTATGTACACCCTAGGTTTTAGAACATTAATTGAATTGAGAGTCTTATGGTGGTTGCACATTTGCCAGAGTAGCTGATGTGATGAAGTCCAGTTTGCTTGTATCCATATGTGATATGCAGTTCTTGGCTGACTGTTATTGGCAGGAAGTTAGCTGGGGAAATTGTAACATTCAGGTTACCTTGATTACTCAATGCAGTACTTCCTTGGAACAAGAGTGGGGCTGGTTGTGAGATTTTCGATAGGCCATCTAGAACAATTCCATGGTCAGTTTCAGTCAGATAGTTGGAGTCAATTGCATAATAGTAGTGGAATAGGCTCCATGTAGGAAAAATGGTGCAGTTAGCTGTACTGATGAAAAGGCAATTGAAAGTCACTGGCTTTGTTTAGTTGGGGCTCAGGAAAAGGTCCCAGGATCAGTTTGAAAGCTCCATGTAGTTAGGATTGGCGAGAAGTCTTGGGGAAGTGGCATTAGATGGTCAGCTTCAGGGAGTTGAGGTTCTGTCCTGAAAAGGGTGCTCCTTATAGGCAGGCACTGATGATTTAGGACTCAGTAAAGTTCTAGGAGTCAATAGTTGCTGCCATGTGTTAGGGTTGGGACTCAGGAAGAGTCCTGGGAATGAGCAAGATTGGAACTTTGAGCATCCCAAGGGGATTACAGTCTTAGTGCCAGCTACCTGTCTGTAGACAATCTGGAATTGTGCCTATGAGTAGGTGCAGCAGTGCAGTTTGAAAAATCCAGAACCTTGGTTGTACCAGGGAAGGAGGTTCATGTACCAGAACATGAACTAGTATCGAGGCACTCCGCAATGGAATGGCTTTTAATGAAGTTCTGAATTTAGACAAGCCTTCAGTGGTGAAGAATTGAAATATCTTGTGAAATTTTAATGGGATTTGGAGACTTACAGGCTAGGTGGTTTTCTGAAAAATCTGTGAAATTAATCTTGACTATTTCATCTGCTCTGTGAGATGTTTGCTCACTGTTTGTCCATTACCCATATTTACCTCCTGTTACTTCTGGATGCTAGAATATAAGTTGCATTTACATTGTAGATTGTTTTGTTTATCTAACTTTGTTTAGTGATGTTTATTGTTGCTTATTCAAAGCAGTGGAAACTTGTGGCTTTATTTTCTTAGTAAGTAGCTGGGACCTCACACTCTTGTCTACGGGGAAAAAAAAATTACTAATCTCCAACCAAATTATATATCAGAGGATAGTAGGGGCATGCAAATAAAAATTCAAAATTTATTTGGATTTTTGTTGGGCAAGGTTTTAAGGATTGTGGAATCAAGTCAAGTGAATGGAGTGGAAATACAGAACAGCCGTAATTTATACAGGAGGGATTGACTGGCTCATTGCTGTTCCACAACCTGAAAGGGTTGTTGAATTAATCTTGGAAAGTTGCTCTAGTCCTTGCTGTTGATGGTACACAGTGCAGCAGCAGTTGCAAGTTGGGTACCGATTGAGCAGACTGACGTCAGTCGGATGGAGTTGTAATTCTTGTGCGGTGTGCTGAAGTAGTGAAAATGGAGCTGAATAAATAGAGATAGTAGGAACTGCAGATGCTGGAGAATCTGAGATAACAAGGTGTAGAGCTGGATGAACACAGCAGGCCAAG